TTAATTTTTAATAATTTGTAAAATCCAAGATTCATACTTGGTACATTACAAGTTCCTATTATTAATTGATGTTTGCATCTACTTCTTTTAATTTTGAGCAATAACCCAGCAGCAAATGAAGGTTCCTAAACCTTGACTCCCATACGCTTTATTCTATCTGAGTTTTTATGGTTGGCTACACTTTGAGAAGGCAGTTCTTCCTCAGTCATATTTTGAATGCCTTCAAACCTGAGGGCCTCATCTTCTGACACTATCTTTGCTTCTGTTCCTTAGGTTTTCAGTAACTGAATTTGTATCTATTCTACCCATAGGGTTTTCAGTGGCTACTTCCTCTGTAGTGGACAGCCTATTTCTACTTCATAGTCTGTTCTTAGTCTAGAAACTGCTGAAACATGTTTACTTTGGGTGACCCTGCTGGTATTTGAAATACTGGTGACATAGCTTCTAGCATCACAGCAACACATAAGCCACCACAGTATGTCAAACTGACAGACAAGTGGTAGGAAAGTTGCTTAGACATAACTAAACACTCGATGGAATGAGTTATTGGGCCTAGGGGCTCAGACTATAGTCTCAGTGGACACCAAGATCAATTGGCATAACATAATTCACAAAGACAATGTTCTGTATCTTACTTTGTGAGTAGTGACTAGGGTTTCAATAGGGTTCTCCCTGTCTGGGAGAAAGAATAGTGGGGAAAAAAACATGCATGGAAATAATTAGTCCAATGAGCTAACAGACCATAGGAACACCTGTCTCCATAGCCCTTAGACCAAAAGAATGGTGCTTGGCTACTACCGCAATTTTTCTGAAAGAAATCACCTTAGAGTTCCTGGTTAGAGTGAGAGAAAATGTGAAACGAAATTTAAAATTTTCAAAAAAACCAGACTTACTGGTTGGGCAGAGAATGGTGAAACACCTCAGACTATGGCCCTTAGTCACCCTTTAGCACTGTAAAACATTATAACAGGTTGCAATCCTTGACTTGAATCAGTTATTCTGTACAGAAATAAAACTCACAGGCCTGGCTTCACTAATGCTATGGTCTAATCAATTATATTAGACAGAATCCTAAAAGGAAATGAATGAAATTCATAAATTAGGATCATTTGCAAAGCTGTGGACAGGTCATAAAGGAACCACAGGGGATGGTGGAAATTCCAAGGGCTAGCAGCAATGGAGCTATCACCACTCTATGCACAATAGAACAAGAAAGCAGTTTATGGGAACACAGAAGTTACAGAGTAGGCCAATCTGATGGTAAGCCAGTATTTTGAGACATGGTAAGAAGCAACAACCTCAAGAGGAGAGAACCAAGGGAATGAATACCCTGATTCACTCTCTTCCCTTCCTCAAACCATTTGTCCTGGCTTTCCATTGTCCAGCCCAACAGGAAGCCAGAGGGTAGCAGAGCCCATTGATGGAACCCATAAAGACAAATCTTGCAGGGAAAAGAGGGGTGAATAAAGATAGAGTAGATTTGACAAATGGAAGATATTTTACACACTAATAAATAACTACAAAGAAAATGCAACTTAGTAATGAAAGTTTAAACAGCACTCAGTGAATGTTTCAGATCATGTATTGAGTGCCAGAAAAGATATATATTCGATTCCCCCAGGAGTGGGGATGCTATCTTAAAAGGATTCAAAGAGGTATTATTTGAGATGGGACTCTGGAGAGAACAGAAAGGAAAAAAGAGGTCATTTTCTGAAGAAAGAGCAAGACTTTGACTACTTCTTTGTGCTCTTACACCATTTTCCCATTGGTTTTTGTTGCAAGTAATGGAAAACCAAACTGGTTCTAATCTAACTGGCTTAAATGATAATGAGAATTCATTGGCTCACAAAAGGAGTCTGGTGGTGTAGTGAGTTACATACTGGGTTGCTAACAGCAAGGTCAGCAATTCAAATCCAGCAGCCACTTTTCAGGAAAGGTGGTTATCTACTTCCATAAATATTCATAGCCACATGGAAGAAGCTCACCAGCCTGTGTGATCATGAGGTTTTAAATAGCCACTGGATTCACAAAGATGAAAAGTCTAGAGGTAGAAAAGGTGGTCAACCAGGAACTCAGCAATGCTATAAAGAACAAACTTCTATCCATCTCATCAGTCTAATTTCTACATTGTCTGGGGTTCCTCCCATTTACCTTTTCTCATGGTTGCAGAATGACTGCCAGTCACAGTGCTTCCTCGATTATAAATATTAGCAAAGGTAATTTGTTCACTTCTGAACAAATGATTGTGCCCAGAGAGATGGTACGTACTTATGGCTTTTTGCCAATTTATAAGCCTGGGAACATCACAACAAAAATCTGCATAATGTTAGGAAGGGGACAAAGGGATACTCATAAGCAACTAATAAGGGCTAAATGGAGCTGCTTCACTCATGATGCTCCAGGCATACCAGATTTTTTTTCCCTAGCTCCTCAAGTATACTAAATTCTTCTCGCCTCAAAGCTTTTGCACTTGTTGTTCCTCTTGCATAGGATGCATAGGAAATTTTTTAAAAACCATTTTATTGGGGGCTCATACAACTCTTATCACAATCTATACATCCATATATCCATCCACTGTGTCAAGCACTTTTGTACATTTGTTGCCATCATCATACTCAAAACATTTGCTTTCAACTTGAGCCCTTGGTATCAGCTCATTTTCCCCCCACCCTCCCTACTCCCCACTCCCCTATGAACCCTTGATAATTTATAAATTATCATTATTTTGTCATATCTTACACTGTCCGACGTATCCCTTCAACCATTTTTCTGTTGTCCATCCCCCATGAAGGAGGTTATATGTAGATTCTTGTAATCAGTTCCCCCTTTCTACCCCACTTTCCTGGTATCGCCATTCTCAGCACTGGTCCTGAAGGGATCATCTGTCCTGGATTTCCTGTTTCCAGTTCCTATCTGTACCAATGTAGATCCCCTGGTCTACCCATATTTGTAAGGTAGAATTGGGATCATGATAGTGGGAGTCGAGAAGGAAGCATTTAGGAACTAGAGGAAAGTTGTATTACGTTTCATCATTACTACACTGCACCCTGACTGGCTCATCTCCTCCCCACAACTCTTCTGTAAGGGATGTCCGGTTGCCTACAGATGAATCTTGGGTCCCCGATCTGCAACCCCCCTCATTGCAATGATTTTATTTTTTGTTATTTGATTATTGATACCTGATCCCTTTAACACCTCGTGATCACACAGGCTAGTGAGCTTCTTCCATGTGGGCTTTGTTGCTTCTGAGCTATATGGCAACTTGTTTACCTTCAAGCCTTTAAGACCCCAGACGCTATATCTTTTGATAGCCGGGCATGTTCAGCTTTCTTCTCCACTTTTGCTTATGCACCCATTTGTCTTCAACAATCATATTAGGAAGGTGAACACACGATGATATTATTTTTTGTTCTTTAATGCCTGATAACTTATCCCCTTCGGCACCTCATGATCACACAGGCTGGTGTGCTTCTTCCATGTGGGCTTTGTTGCTTTTAAGTTAGATGGCTGCTTGTTTACCTTCAAGTCTTTAAGACCCCAGATGCTATATCTTTTGATAGCTGGGCTCCATCAACTTTCTTCACCACACTTTCTTATGCACCTCTTTGTCTTCAGCTATCGTGTGGGGAAGGTGAGCATCATGGAATGCCAGTTTAATAGAACAAAGTGTTCTTGCATTGAGGGAGTACTTGAGTGGAGGCCCAATGTCCATCTGCTACCTTAATACTAAACCTATAAATATATGCACATAGATCTATTTCCCCATCCTCATATATAAATATATTTACATATGCACATACCTTTATTAGACCTCTATAAATGCCCTTCGCCTCCTAGTTCTCTCCTCTATTTCCTTTGACTTTCCTCTTGTCCCACTATCATGCTCAGCCTTTATTTGGGTTTCAGTAATTCCACTTGGTTACATTACCCTTGGTCACGCCCTACCAGGCCTCCTATACCCTCCTCACCACCAATTTGGATCACTTGTTGTTCCCTTGACCCTGGGTTTGTTCACACCACTTCCTTTCCCCCCACCTCCCCGTCTCCCATGTCTCCTCAGAACTGTCGGTCCCGTTGTTCTCTCCTCCAGAGTGTTCATCTAGCCTATCTTATTTAAACAGACATGCGGAGATAATAACATGGACAAAACAAGGCAGGGCAAAACAAAACAAAACCAATGACCAAAAGAAAAGAAAAGCCTGTAGTTAGTTCAAGGACTGTTTGTTGGCCTTTAGGAGTGTTTTCTGGTTGAGTCTGATGGGATGCCATGCCCTAGCCCCAAAGTCTATTTTTGGTATTCCCTGGGGACTTCGTTGCTCTGTTCCCCTTGCTGTTCTGTTGCATGCCCTTAGTGCTTTGCCTTGGTGTGGTGGGGTCAGATCGGGCTTAATTCTGACACTGTATCCAGTGTTGTCCCCTGTAGGGCTATGGGTCAGTGAGAGATGTCATGTCTTATAGTGGGGCTGGGCATATGGTCTTCTCTGTGGACTGGCTGCTGTGTGCTGTGGACTGGCTGCTCTGAGCGGGGATATCAACATAGAACATTTTTTTAATGATTATTCATTTTATATATAACTCTTCTATTAGACTGTAAGCATCTTTAAAAGTAGTAGAATGTTCAATTTTCTTTATCAGTGCAATACAGTACTTGGCACATAGAGGTTTCTCAATAAATACTGAATTAATGAATAGATAAATGGTGCTAATGAAGCTGACACACAGTGAATTGCTATTAATTATTCATATTACCATACAAAACGCATGCTATTGATTACAAATAAAAATAATACTTTTAATAGATCAAAACAAACATCCATCAAATGTATGAGAATCATAACTTAAAGTTTATAAAACTATGTTTTAAAATATAGGTATTTTAGTTATCTTCCCACCAAAGACAATTTATCCAACTATCTTCTAGTAATTCAATAAGTATTCAATAAGACTAAATTATTTTGTTATAACCTTTACATAATGCTGTAAAACTTTATCAATCATACCTTTTTTAAGCTGCATATTTCAGACTCTTGGTTTTTATTTAACGTTGTCAATCTTTTATTTAATTGTATTGCTTCCTGTACTGAGTGGTAAAAAACATTTAAAAGAACATTAATTATATATATGTATATAAAGAAAGTATTACCCGCACAAATTGTAGAAACAACCCCAATGAAATATAAGCGAGATTTTAAATACTAATTGCCATTTACCACTGTGTATCATATAGCATCAGAGAAATTCCTCTTAATCATTATAAATAAGTCCATTTAAATGTTCCCTTAAGCCAAACCAAAATTACTGTCACTGAGTCAATTCTGATTCATTGCCACTATAGGGTAGGATAGAACTGCCCCTATGGGTTTCCAAAACTAACTCTTTATGGGAGTACAACACCCAGCTTTCTCCCGAGGAGCAGCTGCTGGTTTCAAGCTGCTGACCTCACAGCAACCCAATGAGTAACCACTCTACCACCAGGTTCCTAACCAAGCAAACCCCTACTGTAGGGTGGATTTCATCTCACAGAGAACCTATATGACAGAGTAGAATTGTACCATGTGGTTTTCTGAGCTGTAGATCTTTATGGTAGGAGACCACTTCTGTCACCCCAGAAGCAGCTGGTAGGTTCAAATGACCAACTTTTGGGGGGTTAGCTAAATGCTTTAACCAAGATGCCACCAGGGGCCCACCCTTATAGAACATGTAAGTTTAAATAAGATGAATAAAATAAAGCCTACCATTTTGTTCTAACTTTTTGTGATTCTCTTTTACCGATCCAAATTGGCCTGCTATTGTGGCATAGTATTTTTCAATTTCATTCAGTTGCTTATGATGATCTTGTTTAGCCAGGAGATGTAACTGAACCTTTTGCTCCTATTTTCAGAATAATTTCAAATGTTACAGAAGCATATTGTGGTAAACAACTGTTGTTATTTATATATTATTTATAGAAATAATGAAAAAGTTCTGGGTACACTATAGGAAAGAAATATTAGTTAAAAGATATGTCTAGATCTTTGTAAAATTAAAGCAAATATATTTTTCTATAACAGGTTATAGGATAAAGTTATATTAGGCTATATTTTCCTCATTTATAATTTCATTTTAAAAAATCAGCTGTTTTATTTATAAAAAACGTATGAGTCCAGCACTACTCTCTATGAGGGAAAAACTAAAGCAATACTCTTGGCAATTTAGGAAAGGATTACTTTTCCTTCTCTAACCCATCTAAATGATCAGGACTTGCTAGCTAATTGTTTTGATTCTTTTATTTGGGGAGTATAATTTTGATGGATACTATAAAAATTCAGTTAATTTGTGATTAATTTTAATGAAAATAACATCTCAATGCATTAAGAAATACTGATGAGAAAATTTACAAGTGACAGCAATACAATCAACATTGTAGAGTAGGAAGTCTACTGAAACTGGAAGCTATAGTTAGTTGGTAAAGATGAGTCACTATGCATACTCTAATATGGGTCTCTGCTGCTTCCAACTGAAGGAGCTCATTTTATATATCACATTTAGGAAAACTGCTTTATTAATTACCAAATATATTTTTAAATAAAGTAAAAACCTCAGTGAATAAACAATGAAACCTAAAACCTGAAACAAAATATAAAATAAAATTTTAATGAAATATATACTAATATAATTAGCATAATAGTATTATGCTAAATAAAAAGTAACATTTTAATAGTCTTTATCTTGAATTGACATTAGTCAAATCATTGATTGGTTCCATTGATTGTATTGTTTTTCATTTGCTTTAGCTTTTTTGATAGTATAAATGCTAATACCAAAAACAGAACAGTCTAGGCCCATCACGTGGCACATAGTAATTGTTTTCTGAATGAATAATTGCTGTCCCTTATTGTTCAAACAATGGATATTTATTAAATCTTGTCTGGCCAGTATACATTTCTCTTACTTAACAGTACTGTGATTTATTTTATTGAAATACTTCATCCTCATTATAGTCTAGTAGGGCTAAAATGCCAGGGTCCTGTTCTTCCCTAGTCTAAAAGAAGACATATTACTAAAAATAGACCAACTTTTTTTCCTTCGAATTTGTGTCCTAAGCAAGAAAATTATAGAAATAAAGAAGCTCAGAAGGGAGTCTATCCAGATTGATAAGAGATCTCTGTTGTGCATAAGGTCTTGTTTTACCCACTCTGGAATTAGCCTGATCCTCCACTGACTGTGAATACTCCTACTAAATTTCCTTTTCTATAAATTAACTAAGACATTGCATATGCTTATAACTAAAATAAAGACAGCACATTACAGTGGTCAAAAGCTAGTTTGCCTATGTTTAAATCCTGCTTCTTTGACTCAGTGTCTGTATTACCTAGGGCAAGTTATGTACCCTGTCTTTAGAATGCAGATTATAATAGCATCTCCCTCATAGGGCTATTATGAGATAAAATGAATTAATACTTTATGTAATAATATAAACCACTAAAAACAATGTCTGTGAAAGAATAAGTACAATATTATGATAATATAGTACTATTCAAAATTTTTATTCATTTTATTTTTAAATAAGAACCTTCTCTAATGTTAATAAGCAACATACATTATAATTATACTGCATTATCCTGACAGATGTGATAGTCCAAACTTTTTCAGAATTACTTTTTAGTGACTTTTAAGTAAAGTGATAATATCACTTATAATGATTATGATAGAGCAATTGAAAGTTTCACATGTACTTTTGGGGGCTTTTTAAATTCACACTTTAGTCATGTGAATTCATTGCGTAGCAGTAATAAATACAAACAAGTTTACAAGTATACTTATTCCATGCCATCTTGTGCCTACTCCAGTAGTTTCTATAATCAGTAACTAAACAAAAGAATAATGAAATATTGTTATCCTTCCGCTAAAGTATGGCTTAAGATTTTTAAAATGTCATGTTTGTAGAATATGTGTAGAACCCTAATATACTTTCACAGAAAATTATCTAAGAACAATTAGATTTTATCAATTCGCGGAACTTTTCAAATTTTAATTTAAATCAACTTTTATATCGTCTTTAGAATAATATTATCTATTTATTTCATATTAGTACATAATCCCACAAAGTCTTCCTTAGCCTTTCAGCTAAAAGGTGGTGAATCACACAGGCTGTCGATGCCTACAAAAGTTAAGATTCCTGCTAAATAAAAATGCAGCAAAGATAAGAAGATTTCAACCACACAGAGCTCTAAAAACATCAGAGTAACTTATGATATACTGTATTCTCATGTCCTTTTCCTGAGACTAAAGTTGAAATCAACTGAAATATAGTTTCATTTGTTTGTGTGACACAATTCTGGTTTTCAAATACATTAGTTTATTCAATGGCTATTCAATGATAAATACTTAAAATTTCAAGTTACATAGATCCCTATAGCAGCTCATTAACTCATAAGAGTCCATATGAACCCAGTGGGCCACCCTGATTTAATTTTGATAATCAGATGAAGAGCCAGTTGCCACATTTGCTATTCATTTTGTGATTTTCAGCAAATAGTTTAAATTTAGGGGAAGCAGCACGAAAAAGTAAACTGGTAATTCTAAAATGTTAAAATAAATAAATAAATAAATAAATAAATAATAAAAAAAGATTTTGGAAGACCAAAAAAAAAAAAAAAAAGAGTGAGAACATATTAAAGAATAATATAAATAAATTTATAATGCTATTATTATAAAAACATTAACATATGAGAGTTAGCCAAAATCATAGAAACCTTTATTAAACAAAAATACAAATTGTGAAGTTATGGCATTAACGTATCCTCCATCTAGGTCTATACACTTCTTCTGAGGGCAATGTTTGTATCTCTCAAATCCTTTCCCAAAAGAACTCTGCACTTTTTGATTGACATTATGTCAAAACAGCTATTTTGGCATGCTTGAAGGATTTGAAGCCATTGTTTTTATTTTAATAAATAAATAATACGATAAAGAAATAGTGTTCATTCTTGAGATTACTTGATCACAAGATGACTTGATAAGGTTTTACTTCCTTTATCAAGCTGTACTACTAGATACTCAATTATACAAAATAATCACTTATAAACTCAAAACAGAAGACAAGTTACCTACATAGTCATCAGTTAATACAACAATAAAGATTTTCATCAATGACTAAACTACAAAAACAGTTAATTTTTTTGTTCCAGAGGTTACTTTTAACTTAGGTATTGCATTCCTTATTTAAAATGAGGGGTTTCTTTTCAAGTAGAGTTTAAATTCTTTTAGGGATAAATAAATTTTCTGTCAAAATTGTGTTCCTTTAACTAGGGACATATCACCACATTTTAAAGAATAGCAATTCACCAAATTCTCAGATGTCAGAAATGTATTACTAGTTGAGAGATCACCTATATGACATTATGGGTAACTTTATAGTTTTATAGTACTATTTTAAGAAATTATTTATTTTAGAACACTTATCTTTAGCTACTGCTCCCTGAACACCTGCCCAGACATTAGTGGCCATCCTGTTTCCTTCCTGCCCGTAGAATCAACTAGCATTTAAGAATAATGTATAGCTTTGAATAAAAAAGGTTAACTGTGCTACAGACTGCTATATAGCACTTTGTATATAGAAAAATGAAGATCATCTTCATTATATAAAGGGGAAATATGTCAAAAATGATAGTTTTGTTTTTCAATAAAATATATTAAATTATAGATATTAAATATAAAATATTAAATGCATATATCAATTTAGATAAATTATTTCAATGTGAATTTATTTACTACTTTGAAGTGCCAGAAAAATTATGACTATAACTCAAATATCATTTTAGTAGGTTCTTAAAAGGCTATATAATTTAAAATAACCGAAAGCTCTGAAGTGACCAAAACTAGTATATTTCATGTTTCATTGTTTTTGTTTTTGTGGGGTTTTTTAGATTGTAAGTATCTGTTTGAAGAAATTTAAGGTGGAATAAAATAAAACACATTTTATGATGCCTTTGATCTTTAACTTGTAGCCTTATCTCCCAGGCCAAAGGGCACATTATTCAATTTCACTATATTTTGTGTAAAATCACTGTAGCGTTGAAGATGACTTTCAGTACAAATGTCATGGTACTTAAAGCTAAACCAGAATCTAGTTTTTCAGCTTCTTAATTAAAATCACAGTTTATAATAGTCTGACAATATTATCTTTATTTTTCCAGTTGAGCAGCAACAGAATTTTCACATCTTTTAGTCAATCAAGCTTAGCAATCTTTATATACTCCTTTGTTTTCTAACACACCCAAAGAATATCAAGAAACAAAATGCTTCATAGTTTTGTATTTATGTTATAGGATGTAATCTCATTACTTACTTCACTAATGTATGTTTAAGCCTTACTCAAAAAATAATTTTACTTGCCAGTCTGTCCAAAAGAACAAAGAATGGAAAAACAACACACTCAAGAAGTGCTCTGAAGTTAAATTTAAGTGAACATGAAATAATTTTGCTCAAGCATATTTTGAAATACCTTTCAGAATAAAGTAGGGCTGGAAGGAGAGAATCAAAATAAATATTTCATAAAATGTTAACTGTTAAAATGCCAAGTTTATTTAATATTCTTGTACTACAGAAGAGGAAAGCACAACAAATATATACTTGTTGAATGATACAAGAGTGAATGTCATATCTCAAGTACAGTATTCAAATATAACTTAATATTACCATTATTTCCATTTCTTTCAGGCAATAAAGAACTACATGTTTGAATTAATACCTAGAAAAAATATCATTAAAACAAAAAATGTTAGTGTTTTCTTTTAGTTGTTTGTTTTTAACATAAGACCTGTATCAATGATTTGGAAATGTATAAAGTTTATTTTTCAAAAATAATATGTAAACCTATGTAATCTGAAAATAAATTTATGAAATGATCCATTTTAGCTACATCTTAAATTTTTAACGCAAGCTTTTAGAAGGGATATTAATGCTCATTTCTCCTGTTTGTTTTTTAATATAAATGTTAATCTATATTGACAAAAATAATTATATGCTTTATATACTAATGTAGGATGAAAATACATAACTTTGTCATTTCCTTACCATTTCACTCAATTTCTTCTGTAAAGAATATTTTGAAACCTTGAAAAGCAAGGGGGTAAAAATCTCATTAAATGATATATTACAAATTCTTTTTTATATTGTAATTGTACACTAAAAAATATAACATTTGTTTCTGTGCAACCATTTTTTCTGATTATTTTCAAAATTTTATCTATAATGATTTTTTTTCTTCATAACCAAAAAAATACATCAATCTACTCATTCAATGCATATTGATGTAACACCTATGCTAGACACTTTCCTAGGCTCTTAGGAGACAAAAGTGAACAAAACAAAGTCTTCTATGGATGACAGTGAAAACCCAAAATCCTTTTTCAGAAGTACCCTCCTATCCCCAAGAATTAAGTCTGCACTGAACTCACTTGGATCACTGGTTAGTGTTGTGACTAGTTTTGTCCTCAGACAGAGTGCATCAGATGTGGATTGCTGCTGATATGTTGTTGTTGGTATGTGCCATCAAGTCAGTTCCAACCCATAGCAACCTGATGCACAACAGAATGAAACACTGCCTGGTCCTGTGCCATCCTCACAATTATTCCCACTGTTTGAGCCCATTGTTGCAGCCAAGGTGTTAATTCGTCTCTTTGTGGACCTTATTTTGTCACTGCCCCTCTATTTTATCGAACATGGTGTCCTTTTCCAGACACTGAGCTCTCTTGATAACATGTTCAAAGTACTTGAGACAGTCTCACCACCCTTGCCTCTAAGGAGCATTCTGGCTGTATCTTTTCCAAGACAGAGCTCTCAGTCTCTGGCAGTCCATGGTACTTTAATTTTCTTTGCCAGCACCATATTTCAAACACCTCAATTCTTCTTTGGTCTTCCTTATTCAATGTCCAACTTTTACATGCAGATGAGGCAATTGATATTTTCCATTTCAATGGGTCAGGCATATCTTAGTCCTCAAAGTAACATCCTTGCTTTCCAACACTTTAAAAAGGTCTTGTATCTAAGTGGATTTTCTAGACCATTGAGAAAATATTTACTATAAATTTCAATTAAATTTGCATAAAAATAAAATTAAAAGGTCTTGTGCAGCAGACTTATCTAATGTACTGTATTGCTTCATCTCTTGACTGCTGCTTCCATGATAATTGATTGTGGAGCCAAGCAAGGCAAAATTCTTGATAGCTTCAATTTTTTCACCATTTATCATGATGTTACCTATTGGTCCAGTTGTGAGGATTTTGGTCTTCTTTCCATTGTGTTGTAATCTATACTGACATCATGCTTGGTAAAAACAGGCAAAAAGAGGAAGAACCTCAACGAGATGGATTGACACAGTGGCTACAACAATGGACTCAAACATAACAATTGGGAGGATGGAACTGGACTGGATAGTATGTCATTATGCTGTACAGAGTTGTTATGAGTGGAAACTGACTCTTAGACCCTAACAATAACAATGGGGTGATAGTTTGAGATTCTGTAAATAAATTATTTCCTAATGGTCTTTATTTCATTTTTTACCTAATTTTCTAATCACACTTTCTTATCACATAAGAGGGTACGTTTCATAGCAGCAGATAATTTTGTCATTTTTAATTCACCATTGTAACCCCAGTACTGAAACTACTAGTACTACCCGTATTCCATTGAATACATCTGTATTTTTCTGAGACTGTGAACAACTTGAGGGCAACAGTTTTTCTTATTCTATGTATTCTCAGAAAATGAGCACAGACCAACCAACCAACTCACTGTTGTTGAGTAGATTACTACCTGTATGAACCCCACCGAACTCAATTAGTGCTATTTTATTTTAACTTTTAAAGTTCAGAATCCACTCAATGGCAGTGAGTTTGGGTTTTTTGAGGATAACTCAGTAGCATGTGCCAGCTTAGTCTTCCTCATCTCTAAAGTGTTAAAGTCAATAAATGTCTACTTAATTATATTTCTGTAGAACATAAGTTATTTGAATATTTCATTTTAAAATAAAAGATAGAGAAGCAAAAATCTTACCAATTTGTAACTCAAGCTTCTCAGGAAAACATTTAAATTATGTAATATAGGGAAAATTTTAACATATATTAAGAGACATTTCATTAATATAAAACTGAAATAAATAAATAAGTGATCAACCTTGCTAGTTTACACATTTAATAAAGTTTTATTGATCCAATTTTAAAATATAAATAGATTTTAAAATAATACTGTTACTTTACCTGTAATGCTTTTAATGTTTCCTTCAAACCTTCTATTTCTTTCTCTTTTATTTCTGTAGCAAGTTGATATTTTCCCTTTAAAAAAAAAACTAAATTCAATACTTTCCAATACAAGTCATATTGTAAAAGAAGGAAATATAAGAACTCAAGGACCAAAAGTTCTACTTTAAGCCTATTACTTCACAAGCTTCAAACTTGTATCTACATATCAATGCTTCTAAAGCATAAAAAATTCCAATAAGAGCTTTATCTGATTATATTTATCATGAAATAGAAAACTGTATCACAACAACAAACCATCTATCAGTACATTATTTCTGCCTTCAAACTTACAAATGAAAAAAAAAAGCAAAACAAAACCACACCATTGAGCACATTTCAACTCACAGGGACTCTAGTGTTTTCAATCTTGTAAATCCTTACTGAAGCAGATAGCCTAATTTTTCTCCCACTAAGCAGCTGGTGTGTTTGAACTTTGTAGTACACAGTCTATTGTTTACCTGACAGCACCATCGGATACCTCTTTAAAGATACTATATAATTAAGTATGCAAATCATCCAGCTTGAATAAACATGAGGGGACTTAAATAACTCATACAGATTCTATTAGCTTCTAATTTTTCCACAAGTTTTTTTTTTTGCTATTTTCTCTGCTTATACTAATGCTTCATTTTCCACAAGTTTTTAGAAGCACTGTCATAGATTCCAATTAGGAAAATACTAGCATATCTGTCATATATCTAAGAATATGTGAGAAATCCTGAAAAATTATTTTCTGATCAAATAAAAAATATATAATCATTAATATTATAAGTAGGATATTCAATACCATAATAAAAACCTGCATTAACTATTAAATAGAGAAAATACTTAGTGCCAGATTAATTTCTAGGTATGCTCAGATTTGTGTCCTGCTTTGTTGGTGGTATGTACTTAGATCCAAATCATTTTAATGCTTTCTAGGAAGTGATCAAAAATACACAAAAAATATCATCATTAATGGAAACCACTAGAGAATAGAAAGAGCAATAATAGAAACACTGGAAGATGGAATAATTTGGGGTTTTGTCTAAAATCTACCATCTCACAATGGAAAGTTCTGCAAGTCAAGTTATCTTGTGTCTTTATCTAGGAGCTAGGTAACATGATTTCTTTAGGTCTGTTCTGTTTGCAAGAGTGAGCCCTAGTTGTGTAGTGCTTAAGAGTGCTTGAGTTGGTCTACTAACGGCAAGATCAGTAGTTTGAAATCACCAGCTGCTTTGCAGGAGAAAAACACAAAGTTTTTTATTCTGGTAAAGTGTTACAGTCTCAGAAACCCACAGAAGCAGCTCTACCCTGTCCTACAAGGTCACAGAGTCACTATGAGTTGGAATTGACTCCATGACAGTGAGTTCTGCTTCCAGGATTCTAAGCAATCAATAATTCCATTATTTTATTATTAATGTTTCTTTCTATAATAATAATGAAATATACTTGACTAATCTTCAAATTATTTAAAAATTAATAAATACCTTTTCTTCTTCTACGGCACACATCTTCATTTGTAACTAATAAACAAGTTTAAAATTAAAATACAGGTAAGTAAATAGCAGTTACACTGTTCAGTAAAACTAGAGAAAATTTTGACATATCTTTTTTTTAACATTATTATGAATTGAGTGGAGGTTTACATTTCAGATAATCATTTTTGTATTCAATAACCTGAATATAAAACTTCCCAATAACTTTCCCTGCCCGCCTCTTCTTTTGCTCTTCTCCCTCTTGTAGAATATTATCTTCCCCTTCACCCAAGTTAACCCCTGTGGATCATCTTACCGCTTTCTCTTTTCTCCTTTCCTCTCTCTATCACACTTTGTTTGAACTTTATATAATATGAATATGCTACTTTCATTTTCAGAAAATAAAATACTAAAGATATAAAAAGAAGATCACAGACACTAAATTAAATGACAATTTAATGACCTAATTAGAGATACCAGTCATCCTTTAAAGTTTAGTTTTCCCCCTCCAAGTTTTCTTGGATGTTGTTGTTAGCTGCCATCAAGTTGGTTCTGAGCCCATAGCAACCCTATGCACAACAGAACAAAACACTGAAAGTAACCTCATTGCTTTTCAACACTTTAAAGGGGTCTAGCAGATTTACCTAACACATGCATCATTTGGTCTATTGACTGCTGTTTCCATGAGCATTGATTGTGGATCCAAGCAAGATGAAATCCTTGACAACTTTTATCTTTTCTTTGCATATCATGATGTTACCTACTGGTCCAATTGTGAGGATTTTGGTTTTCTTTACATTGACTTGTAATTCACATTGAGGGGTGCAATCCTTAATCTTCATCAGCAAATGCTTCAAGTCCTCCTCACTTTGAGCAAGCAAGCACCTGAATATTGCAGGTTGTTAATAAGCATTCCTCCGATCCTGATAACACATTCTTCTTCATGTAATACAGCTTCTGTTTGCTCAGCATACGGATTGAATAAATACGGTGAGAAACTATAACCCTGACTCATACTTTTCTTGGTTTTAAACCATGCAGCATTCCCTTGTTCTGCTCCCACAACTACCTCTTGATCCATTTACAAATTCTGCAGGAGCACAATGAAGTGTTCAATATCATTTGTATTTATATCAATAATACTTAAGTTTTGAAGATATTTAGAAATATACATTGCAGGGAAGTCTAAGAAATAATGACATTTTTTAAATGCCAAAAGAAAATAATGAAATATTCCAGGCAGCACCAAAGTATTAGGCCAAATTGTCAAGAAATAAAAATAAAATTTGGAACTCTCATCTCCTTTCCCATACTCTTTAGTTACATTGAAAAACTCTTTAAAAGGGGGGGGAGGGGAAGGGTCCAAGAATACTTTCTCATCTGCCCTCCAAATATATGACAAAATTCCTAAATTATAACACATCCCTGCTTTCTCCTGAGAATATTATGCTACACAATTGGCTTTCAATAACCTTGCCCTTCTATTAAAACTGTCAGAAAGTTGATTATCTCAGTTAAAAGGAAGAAAGCTTTAAAAATTCCCACTAAGGTGTGAATTACCAATAATTTTACCCACTAATGATTAAGATTTATTTCCTTACATGCATTTTGTTTTTCTTAAAACTAAGAAGAGATAGGAAAAGGGAAGAAATAGTGATATGGAGATAATGATAATAAAACCATTTCTCCATAAGCACGTTTTCCTGACTAATTTTTTCTAATAGAGATTTAAGGAAAATTTGAGGTAGGTAAGAACTACAAAATTCAAAGTGACTGAAGATGTTGCAGTTCATCTCTTTGAAAATTCTTCATTTTTCTACTAATCTTTCTTAATGACTGATCTGTACAGTGCATGATAATCATTTTCCTTTATCCTTGCATTTTCCTCCCTACTTGCATCTCAGCTTTTTAACAGTGTGTTAAAATTCTGGCGTGGGTAAAGAGATAATATGGACAAAGTAAGATCCTAGAACATTCTAATGAAAGGAAGATAAGAACACAAATATTAAGCACAGTGACATAAATTATTTATAACAGATGAAAGTACATCCTCATTTCAAGTAAAAGGTTTTCCCAATTTCTTGCCTTAACTAATTAATTATTTTATAACCTTTACTATCAGCATGAGCTCCAAACGACTTTTAACTAATACATTTTTTCTCCTTTTTGTCATGAGCATGTAAATCAGTTTTCATAATCTTCATCAAAAGGTGAAGTAACACAAGATTTAAAACTATATTATTTGTTTTGCCTTATGAAATTACCTGCTTTTTAAAAACTGACATTGCTTCTTTGTGTTGCTTTGCCAATGTCTCCTTTTCATTCTGAAGAGTTTCCTATTTTTAAAATTATAAGAAATTAAAATGTAAATGATAGGAAATCCTCCCATTTTTAATTTTAATTAAGTTCACAATTTAAATAAAAGCCAAAATATTTATTGCACACATAATTTCTTGAAATGCAATTATACACAAATTTTACTTTAAAAATAAAATCATGGTATCAGCATATAAAATCTTGCTTTCAAATGCAAAATTTTCATGATCGAAACACATTGTTTTTTTTGTTTTGTTTTGTTTTTTTGGTTTTTTTATTTTATTTTTTTTTAAGCATTTTGTTTAGGGGCTCATTTATTTTCTAACTATGAACTGAATTCCTCCTTTATGCTCCTTCATTTTTTTCAAGAAATATTTTTTGATCACCAATTATTAAAACATTCCTAATATAAGCAGACTCTGGTTTTAGGGCTTCCCCTAGAACAAATTTTATTACCCAAGTATATAGTAAATTTTATTTCTCTAAATTCATTGAAATGTTAAAACAAACAAAAACTACCACCAGGCAGTTTTGAAGAAATGATTCACATGCATGATTCCATTTTTCTATCTTTTCTTCTCCCCTCTTCTTCGTGAGATTGTGTTTATTCTGTCCTTTAGATTCAGGATGACTAGGTTTTTCTTTTATTTTTAGCAAATAATTGTCATCATTTTTTAAATTAGGTCTAAAAGTAGCAATCACTTTAAAACTTTTCTGATTTGCCTCCATACTACTAAATAATATGTTGACTTATCAGTTTTTAGAATTTATTCCTTGACTTCCTGTTATGGTAGTTGGGAGCTTTATTCATCCAACAGAGTTTTACCAAAACTTTAGCTCAAATCAACAGTCAGTATTTACATTACTATGTCTATGTAAATATTATTCATGATTATATTTCCAGTCACAGATTTTTGTTTTTCCTAAAGTTGATAATTACTTTAAAATATTTTCAGTCTCATGACTAACCTAAAAATAATAATACTGTCCATTCCCTGAATCATATCTCAGTCTTACCTTGTAGCAGTCTTTCAATACAAAATGCAATTATCTAGGATGTGAATTTTCCCCCAAGGAGGTAATTCCATTACTACTGATAAATTACAAGGCATTCAATACCTTCCAAGGCTAGTTACTAAAAGGCGATTCAGTTTTCTGGATCTCACTGGCTACCATAGACATTGGGTTCTCAACTCTCTGAAATCACCATGCCTCAATAACTGAACCTCTTTCTTAGAACATTAAAAAAATATTTTTTTCTATTTAGGACTAACTCTTCACTGTCCTGCCCCCCACCCCTAACCATTCTAATTCTCATAAAACTTTCTACTTACTTGTACCTGAAAAATGAAGTCAAGTCCTTGTTATTATGACTCAACATCACAGGAATTATCATAGTCCAATCTGTTCACTACAGTCTTCTCAGTGGCAAAAGGTTATGCCTTCCTTACCCTAGGGAAATATTAGAAGTTGCCAGACTTGAGGCATCTACTGACTTGGTTTAAGAATCTTGGTTAAACCAGATAGTTTCTCATGCTGTGAAATCTTTGTTGAATCTTTATTGATAACACATTTCCAAACAAACAGGTTCACCTCCTATTAGCTTTTATTACTTTCTCCCCAAGGCATTTCTATTCAGTGCTGTAATACTTTCTTAAAAGTCTGCTACTTTTTCCCCATAGCCAAGGCCACTGTTGTGGAGTCACTTCTAATTCATAGCTACCCTATAGGGCAGAACAGAACTGCACCATAGGGTGTCTGAGGCTATACATCTTTATGAAAGCAGACTGCCTCATATTTCTCCCCGGGAGCAACTGTTGGATTCCAACCATCAACTTTTCAGTAAACAGTCCAATGTTTAATCCACAACACTACCAGAGTTCCTTCCAATGTCCTAGGAGGAGGATATATATAATGATCTAGCTTCTGACTGAGCTCTGACTATTTCTCAAACAGATTCATTAACAATCTCCCTTTCTAAATCTAGATTTAATCTTGTTTGTGTATGAGTCATTGATTTAACTGATTCAGACAGGGCATATATAACAGTCTCTACTAGCCACTGTAATATGACTCCTTACTGGAAGTAAATTCAGTCCATATGAGAGACTTATCAACCTAGGTGGAGGTTGCCAATTGTCAAGAGTTAAGAGCTAACACAATACACTGATAGCAGGTATGTATTTGGAAGTTAACAATTTTTGTATACTGTAAAAATAACTAAGGTTGCTTACCTCAATAGATATCACAGTTAGAAAAGTTAACAACTTTAAACGCTTAGAAGCCACACTAAACGGGATCATGTGAAGGCTAGAGGAATACCCTAGCTGGTCACATGACAGAAGGTTCAGTTTCTCCCATAACACTCCAAAAGGTAAAATCTCTGGACATATTCAAAAAGACTATTTTGAAATGCCCACAATTGGCTCCAGAATCTTAAAAGAATGTAAAAAATATATGTGATTACAAATAACAAGATGATCATTTGCCTTTCAGTGCGGACACTTGGTGGCACCAGAGGACCTGAATGAAACTTTGTTTAAAAAAAATTTTTTTATTACTCATCACAGAAAGCAATTAAACAAGACACAATTAGCATTGGTGGGAACATTTTACTATGATTGCTGAGGATCTCTCTAATATACATCATATTACCACAATCGTGGTAAAACTTATCTTGGAAACATAAGCCCCAGGATTATTTTTAACTCCAAATAGATTTTCTAAATTTAGCCCTGCTTTTGGTTCTGAATGTATTCTGATCATTCTTCTCAGGATGGATTGAAATAACTTTTTCTTGTCAGAGCAAGAAGCGGGGGAGGGACCTGCTTGATTTTGTGTTCCTAACCTGAGGAAATCCAGTGACAGAAGCACTCATTTTCCTGGGGCTGCTATTAGAAAACTGCAAAATCTTGTTTACTTGAAAACTTCACTTGCCTAGTCATCTTCAGTCTAGAGGCCAGTGACCTGATGAAGTTTTGAATCCGATGCTCTTGAACTTCCATGGCTAAGAAGGTTACACCTTTAACTCTAAACACTATGAAGTCCATTCATGTGCTTTCATCATACAAACTTGTTATAGCTTTCCTTATTAAATTGGATATTTCTCTTCAGATTCTAAACACTTCCTTACTTCACACTCTCACTGCTGTCGAGTCAGTGTGCGCTCATAGCGACCCTAGAGGATAAAGTAGAGCTATTCCTTTGTGCAGTGGTGGGATTCAGCTGGTTTGCACAGATTGGCAAAAATGATTCCTAATTTTTGGTTGAGGTCAGCAAACCACTTGTTAAAATGGCACTTGTAACTTACAATCAAGTTTCTCTTTCAGTGGGTGGCGGAGCAGTTGTCCAATATGGAAATCACAAATTTACATTCTTATTCTTTTTTAACATTGATTGGGCAATAGCTATTCTAAGCACCTATAGGAATGTTCATTCCATCCATAGGTATAAAACATTAGATGGAACTATGATTTTAATGTTTTATTTATTTATTTCCTAAAACTCGTGATACTGTTCGTGAAATACTACATTTTTATTTCCTTGCATTTGTTACTTTAGTAAACAAACATATAGCATAAGAAGAAAAAGTGCCAAACAACCAGAGGGTGACATGCTGTCATTTCAGCTTTGTGATACTCCCCAAATGCCCACATGATATTATGAGTAAATCATGCAATTCCCAAAACTATTCAAAGAACTAAAAATCTTGTCAGAATAATTGCTCCAAGCTCAGCAGAAGTGGAAAGGGATTTTTCAAAGATGAACATAATATAATCAGAGAAGAGAAATTGGCTGTTTCTGATATATCAAACATAATGATCATTGTCTAATTGGCCTATTTCAAATGGAATAGGATCCTACTCCTACAGTGAAAAGATGATACTAAGATAAAAACAAAAAATATTGCAAGTGAAGGTGCTGATCAAGAAGCAATACGGAAATATCTTAAATAACAGTTTTATTGGTTTTGTCAGGTATTATTTTATGCTTGCATAAGCATTTTAAAACTCCCTCTTATAACAAAATCTAGTTTTGTGTACCTCTTTGTTCTTATTTAAGTATTAGCTGTAAGAAATAATAAGTTATCTTTCAGTATATCCTTATTTATACTTAAATGGTCATTAGGATTAAATTATTTAACATCAGTTGTTAAGTTACTTAAATCCCACAACTGCTTTTGTGCTTCCAAGGTTGTAAATCTTTATAGGACGGGAAGGCTCCTCTTTCTCCCAAGGAGCAGCCAATGTTTTCAAACTAAAGGGCTTGTAGTTAGCAGTCCAATGTGTGACCTACTATGATATGATACCATACCAGGGCTCCTTTACTTCACACAAACCTGATAAATGTTCCCAGGAATTCATGCAATAAGCGTCTTAGTTTTATTGCCAACTGGTATGTCTTTCCTCTACATGACCTTGAACTTGGAGATAGGATCTTCTGAAAATTATCCCAAAGAGGGGAAAAAGAAAACCCCTGAACCCATGTTAAACTATTCCTAGCAGATACCTTTGAGCACAAACTCTAAGAAATAAATCCTAAGACATATGTCTCCTAGCTGAATAGACACAAGGTTCCACTCTCCCATACCTGCATCAATTACTATTCCATCAGGAAATTTAAGACTAATGAGTCTTAAGATTCCTTCAGAAGTAAATTATCTTCAGGAAGAGAGAGCATCCACATGAGCAATGGGTCAAAAAGGTGACTGTATAATGGAAATGACTTCTACCCAAGATGTATAGAATAAAATCTAGATCAGAACCAAATTTGGCATGCTAGCTGTTTGTGTATGGCCTGTGAGCTAAGGAACCTGGAGCCCTGGTGGCAAAGTGGGTTACACTTTGGGCTGCTAACCACAAGGTTAGCAGTTCAAAATCACCAGCAGTTCCACAGGAAAAAGACAAGGCTTTCTATTCCTGTAAATATTTAGTCTCAGATACTCACAGAAGCAGTTTTACTCTAACCTGTAAGCTCCCTATAAGTCAGAATTGACTCAATGGCAGTGAGTTTGGTTTGG